GGCTCGGTCAGCTTTTGTTTGTTTTGATGGAATTGCTTGTGGAGCGTCCCTCCTGCAGCATCCCAGCGGAGCAGAACAATTCAGTGCACCAGCTGGATGGGGATTGCTTCATGTGCTGCCAAATGCACCACGTACAAAGCAGTCTGCAGCACCTCTGGGGTGCAGCCTGACAGGCTCAGCAACACCCTGCAGCAGCTTGAACCAAGAGGATGCACTGCTTCAGTGCTCAGCCTTCCTCCTCTTGGTTTTCTGCCTGCTCTGTCCAGCTTGCCTCTCCCAGCTCAGCATTCTGATGGATTTTTCTTCTCCTGATAATGTTTCTGTACTCACCTCAGGCCAAGCCAAAGATTCATTTAAGCTGAAAAAGGCCGTTTGTCTCAGTATCTTATCATCTCTGTCTCAGCCCAAGCCTTGATGCCTCCTTCCCCCAGCAGCAGGTTTCACTCCTTCATTTGGAATTTCACACAGCCACCTTTTCTCAGCCACCTCTTGTTTTCCTCCAAGAGTTTTGGGGAAGCATGGCACACCTTGACATGGTGCTTCCCTGGCTTCTGCCAGCCAAGATGGGAGTCTCATCAAAAAACCTCTGCTGAGGTTTTGGTGGGATGCTCAAGGGTGCCTGCATGTATCATAAAATTTCCTACTCTCTGGCATGCCTTCACCTCTGCAGGGATTCAATGAGATCTCTACTGGGTAGCACTGGAGATGTTACCCCCTCCCAAAATTCCCACTGCCCCAGGTGGGGGTTCTTTCCCCCCTACCCAACAGCTGTGGCTCCCACAAAGGGTCTTGAGGGGCTGTGGTTTATGGTGTGGATCCTCAGGAGGGCTGGCAGGGCAGGGCAGGGTGCTCAGGGTGCTCCCTGCGTGGGTCACCTGTGGGTGGGGGGATTGGGGTGCAGGACAGCAGGGATCTCTGCAGAGCAGGGAGACAAACACGCCTTCTGGAGCCATGAAATATGAAATGTGTTTGGCTATGGGAGATCCAGGGGTCTGCAGGGAAAGGCGAGGGATTCCCCCCTCTCTGCTGGGGCCAAAATCAGGGGAGGGTTCCAAAATAGCACCACTTCCCTCTCCCCGTTCCTGCAGGTGCTGGGTTCGCTGGGGGATGCTCGATGCACCAGGCTGGTGCCAGCCATGTGATTGACAGCTGCCAATCTCCAGCAGCACAGATATCCTCGGGGGCAGCGTTGGGGTCGCTCCAGCCTTTCTCTCGCTGGTGCTCCGGGATGAAGCAGGGCAGAGCTGGGGACTGGGGGGAACCAGAAGCCACAGGGCTCCGGATCCCGCTGCACCTGCGGGGCAAATCCCAGCGGGCAGGGAGGGAGCATCGGGACAAGGGGACAAGAGGGGGCAGGGTG